GGTGAAATGAAACAAAATTACTAAAAATATGTTATATCTCATCGCTACAGAGTGGGTCAAATATATTTACAGCTTCTTCACAGCTTCCAAAGCTGTATTTGTTTTTTTTTTAGTATATCAAGTACATGTACTCAGAGGCCTGCATTATTTTGTTCCATGTTTGAAGTTTTGTCACTTCACTTGTTTAATCTTTTAACAGTGCCTTGTTTGTCACGGACCCATTACTTGTAAAAGTCCTTCACTCCTGCAAATGCTGCTGTCATTGTTTTGTTATTTTTTGTTTATTTTTGTATTTTTAATTAATTAAATTGTTTTGTTTTCTCTGTAGCAGGTGTTGCATGGTCCGTTACTAATGACAAAGATAATGCTTGCTGTGGTTTATTGAGGTTTGTCATGCTTCTGCACATGTTCACCTAAATTGGTTGACTATGAGTTCTATAAGAGAATTTTGAATAATTCAAACAACCTTTTCCTCATTATTAGTTTTATAAGTCTATATAAATTTGAACGGAATGCCCCCCAAGTGTTACCTTTCAATATAACTTCAAACATTCTGGGCCTAGGCAATGGAATGTCTCACCAATCTCTCTCAGATGTTCAAGATCTTATAAAATAATACTTTTGAAGTTGCTTTATAACTTTAACATGCTGTATAATATCGCCATGAGAAAATAAATGTCTGACTAGATCTTGGAATGAAGACAGCCTGAATTGAACCACCCAGAGGTTATGAAGAAACAAATTTATGCATGTATAGAAATTAATATGCAGTCATAGAGCCAATACGTAGAAATGAATTGAAAGAGTATTTATCAGACATACATGTATTAATCCAGGAGCTCACATGTACTTCCCTGATATGAGCACTGAGCCTTCATCCTAATCCAATAGACCCTAGAGTAATTATTGCAAGAGAAGCAGCGTCTTGCAGATCTTAGTATTCTTAGATTTTCAGTATCTTGACTATCTTCAGTTTAAAAAATTACTCCATAGTTATGATTATTTCATAGGTACGTGTACAGCAGCTATTTGAACTAAGGCATTGACATTGATTTTGTGGCTGAGTGTATTCAGAACTGAAGATTGTTTGTTTTAAACATTAGTTTAACATTAACAAAACTGAAAAATGAAGGAGATGGCTGAAGTATTGTAGTTCAGCCTATTCACTCATGAGCTGGAACAAAAAGAGTGTATTTTTAAATGAAAGAGACAGTCCTTTGCGAATTCACCGCCACAGGCACGCAAAGTTATGTGCGTTTGACACAGGACACGTCGAGTATTGTGCAACAAATTTATGCTGGAATGCATAGTCTTTGTGTCCACCAAACACGAGCAAGAACCCAGTTGGGAAACTTCATACCAGTCTGTCTGTCTTTCGCCAGAGAGGGTGCACTTCAACTCGGGGCGAAGTACAAGTCCCTTCAAGTCCAACACAAGTCACAAGTCTTAAGCTAAGTCACAAGCTATTCTAATGAACTGCGGCAGTGAGCATTTCTTTGTCATTGTCACCTTGTCACTTAATGACTTGTCTTGTGAAGGGACGTGTGTCTGAACTCCAGTTGAGATGGAGTCCCATACTACACTGCTGCTGAAAACCACTTCGGCGGGTGTTCTTTGATGGAAATCCACGAATGTTTGAAGTCATTTTTTTGCTTCTGTTTCTCAAATAGAAAGCCACACCATCAGACTGCACACTGTGGTGTACATGTACTTGTATTATGTCTGTAGATTTCAGAAATCAAGAAATTGTTGGAATACTCTTTAAAACCTTCAAAACCACATCTTTTGTGAAGCTGTGTTGGTCAATATTAAATTATTGCAACTTATGTATGCATTGGGCGAGTATATTCATAAAATTTAGTAAATTTATCCTTTTTCAATTAATCAGTAGTAAGTTTACAATTTAAGCTTTTTGCGGTTATACTCCGTTTTGTACTTGGAAAATTGTTTTGCAGTTATGTAGGAGCATGACTCAATAGGGTCACGAGAGCAGGTGTTTTTGGAAGTTACAAAATGCACTTACCATTGTTTCTCCTACATCGTTGCGTAGAGTTCTAATATTCTTTCTCCTGTGAATTTTGTATTCTTGTCATTCCCCATTTCCTACCTTTCAATTTAACCCTCTTCAGACTAGGCTTTTCAGAAGTATGTTTTCAGGGGGGTCCCCAAGATCCGAGATAAAATGCCTGATTGACACGAAATTTGTGAGCCGATACATGTAGGATAACTTATTAACAACTTGTTTATGTAGATAATAAAGTGCTGTCATCTTAATTATTTGCATATCAATTAGTGAAGTATACATATTTTGGGCATATTTTTAATATTTGCCAAAATTGCAAGGACGTAATACCCAGGTGACTTGAAATAAACACATTTTATTGTTGAAATTGTTTTCACATTGTTTGCTCCGATATAGATACGACATTCATGGTGAGAGGGAAAACATCCAAAAGGAAAGCATTTAAACAGGTCTGCATGACATCCTTTGATGCACAAAAGCCTTGAACATTTCAGTTTTTAGATAAACCTTGACCCTTAATTGTAACATGAAAATGCTTTGTCCCAGATTTGCAAATTTGGCGTCAAAGATTGCACAAGGCAAAGAAAAAAAGCGCATGAAGGGAGAATATTGATATTTTCAAGGGCAGGGGCGGCAAGAGAGGAAGGTCTGTATTGGGATAACACGACTGTGAGGTGACAAGACAAAAAAATTGTGGATAAGTTCATCCTTAAGAATTCTTCTTTTTATCACTTTAGGAATTAATCTTTTGCTTTGTAGGGAGAGCCAGCGAGTTTTCTAACCACTGTGACTTGGCAACAGGGTTGTAATGACTCGAGTCTATGACTTGACTAGTCATTGACTCGAGTCCTGATGGGTAAATAATGACATGAGTCAGTATGAGCCAATAACTCAACTCCAGTCCCTCTGAAGAAGATTTAAGTGAAAGTTAAGACTTGAGTTCCCAAAATAAAGAACTCATTTGGAAAAAAATTGTTAGTGATGGTTCATAATGTTCATGTCACATATTACTATGCTACTATCATATTACTATTTACTATCATAAAGATGTGGTGTGACCACAATGTAACAGGTGATTAGTTTAAAAAATGCAAGAAAATGACTTATTTATCGTATTGTGTGCCAATATTTGTAACTCAAATTAACTTCAGCTGCATGCATGTACTTGACTCAACTCCATCTTTTTGCCAAATGACTCATGTTACTAAAATCAGTGGCTTAATGTTACAATTCTGCTTAAAGAAAGAAAGCACTTGCACAACATTTCCTCTTTGAAGTGAAAATATGTTTTGTCTTTCTAGAAATGCCAAGGAAAGTATAGTGCCTGAAGAGTTTGGGTACAGGTGCATTTCCTGTCTGGTCCATGATAAAAATCCTCTTTAATCCAACTCATCTTGCAAACACCATTTTACGCCTACAATCAAGAAGAGATCAGCTGGAAGCAGGCAGAAAGACCCATCCTTTAATTTAAATAAGCAAATTTTTAATGGAATTTCTGATTTGTCAAAATGCACCACTTCGCAGTGTTTAAGTACCCCAGGGGTGAGATTGACCAATGATCAAAATAGCTGAAAACAGCTGAAAAAAGGCATAGAGAAGCTTAACCATGAAAATCTCCTATACTTTTGTACACAGCCAGTGCGGAAAAAAAGCTGAAATCCAAAAGAAAAAAAAAGCTGAAATCAGCTAAAAAGCTGAGAACTCTCACCCCTGGTACCTTCAACATACAGACCTTTTGTGCATGTTTTGAGTACCTGTACTAAGTAGTAATTAAAACTCTTCACAACTGTGATGAACGGAAATGAATCAACCACTAGATTTTGTTTGTAATTGACAAGGCTAAGAAAGTCAACTTCTCTTTTTTTATTACAGAGACATCCCACTGCATGCAGTCTAAAGACCTGGTTTTTTAATACTAAGCAATGAAGCATGCCGTTTTCTCAAAGGACAGACAGGGATGAGGATAACAATGGCCAAAGTTTGGTATTTTTTATGTTCAAAACAATGACAAGCGATTTTTCTAAATAAAAGGTAATATACATGTACTGAAGTACCAATATCCCCCCCCCCCAAAAAAAATTGGTTTAGATCTACTCTTGGCACTGCCCAATCCATTCCGTATGGTCCGAATGCATTTTCCAATATGTTCAAAGCTGCAATCAGGCAAACCTCATCAAAGTTTGGCAAGTCCATGCTACCATACAGGCATGCACAACATTCCCTCCCTATGCCTTGCTGCTGAGCAATCAAAGTCATTTCTTGGAATCGGCTTCCTCCTTTTGCTACAGTGCCACGTTCAGTTATTAGTTCTTGAACCTCCCTTGGATGTTTTTTCCTCCCAATAAAGTTCTTCAAGGACAGTTTTGCCTCCATGTCGGCCTTCATCGTTATCCAAATAAAAGTTTCAGCACGATGACGCCCGAGTTTAAAAATATCAACGGCACTGCAAAATAAGAATCAAACAGAGATATAGAATTGTGTGGTTAATAAAATGCATGACACATGTCAAAATGTCAGGTAGCAGTACATGTCTAATGTCTTGATGTGGGAAAAATGACAGAGTACTGGTGGCAAAATCATAATCATGTCAATCAACATCAATCAAAATCATGGTTTCTGTGGCAACAAATGCTAGAATGTCAACTTGAAGCCCACTTATCAGCCCTTCTGACTGACCCATTATGCCCTACTCGCCCACATCCACCAAAGGTTTTTCAACAGATCATAGCTATCATTTTCATGTCCAGCATGCATGCACAAAAGTCTGAAAGGCGCGCCCTCTCGACAGTCATGACGGCACAGCCGCATCACGCTGTGTGGCATGGGAGAGAAGCATGTGGTAACTGCCCACGTGTGCAGTGAGTGCATGGGGCTAACTGGATCAGTCGACTGCAGATAAGTACCAGGTGGCCTGCCCAAAAAAATGCCATGCAGCACTTAAAAATAGTCCCCCGCTGGACCATTTTTATCTACATGTACATTGGCCAGGCAACTTCTCTGCTTCAGAGCTCTGTGATTTTTTTCACTTTGCCAAGACTTTAAAGCAGTGAATTCTTTTGCAGTAATCAGGTTTTGGGTAGGTTTTGTGGTCTTTCTGAGAGATGAGGCTACATACTGTTTGTTTAACACGCTTTGAGGTAAATGAAACGGTCAACAACTTGTCCTCTCGTAATAACATACACTGTTAATGTAACACAAACATAAATGGGGGGATCACGCCATGGACCCTGTTGACCTCCCTTGATCCACCTGTACACGGACAGTTCTACAAGTGACAGACAGAAAAGGTAAGCGATGCGTGGTGTGGTACTGCACGTCAACAACCACACCTTGTGTAATCTGTGCAGAGATGAATCCAGATCCAGAGAGTGGCCGAGGCATGGCCGCTGTACCAGACTGCAGCGTGGCATTGTAGTATAGAATACTGCAATGTGACATCCTTTTGAACCAAAAAGTGCAGTGCAAACAAATGATGTGTCCGTCTCTGCACTGGTTCTCGCACTAAAGCCTTTTGCATACCTAATGGTGCACGTGACGTTGATCACTTTGGTACTCTATGCCAACAGGTGATGATTTCAATGAGTGGCAAGCTTCACTGGAAGCATTGCCTAATGTATCCCAAGCAACTCACCTCTCATGACGATTCTTATGGACCGGATCAGATTGATGAGTTGTGCCTTCATCCCTGGCTCTTCACCAAACCCACCGACGCTCTGGTCACCTCCCCATCCCACTGCATGGCAACGAAAAGGAAAAAAAGTGACGACTCGGCAACAACCATGCAATAGGAGAGACCTAGCTCTCCAAACCTTGGGCCAGATTTTGCCACACTTTCAAGGCTTGTGCACCACATCTGTTGGGATCAGGATAGAGAGGCAGTCCTGTACCTGGCCCCGTTTATGGAGCTGCATACGTCTATGTCAAAATGATAAAACAGGCAATTTGTAGAACAGAGAAAACACCCAACACTGCCATTAACAAAAATTCTACCGTTTACTTTCAGGATTACAAGTAGGAGTCTGCAATCATGGCACATAAAGGATAAGAAAATGACCACATCAAACAATTTTTCTGAAAATCGATTCTTTATGATATAGTTAACCCAGTGACATGGCACAAACTTTATAAAACAACTTAATTAATTAAATATGAAAAGAAAATATAGGAGGAAAAAATCGATAATAGCATGTGGATATTTTTGACCCAAGCCCACTTGGAAAAAATGTCCTTATTTAAGGAGACACTCTCTTTCAGGGGACTGGCTTTGTCCCTAAATGAAAGGGCTTCTCAAAATACAGGGACAGCCAGAGTTGCGACGTGCACCTCTACAGGCAAATAAGACCAAAGATTTTACAAAAATATCAATATTAAAGTTTTTAGTAAAAATCCACTCATTTCTGTTAAGCCTATGTACATGTAGTCCGACTAACTTGGACTCTACAAGTCTCCTTTTTTAACATTTGGACATGGTTGGTGATACATGTAGTAGAGTCCAAGTGCCTTCCATAGGCTTTCCATCCCATTCATTCGTTTCACTCAAAATAGCTTGTTTGTACCTCAATTCCACAACCTCTGAATTTACCTCCAAAATGATGCTTAAACTGTCTAATGCATCCCACTTAGGATTAATTGAGAATCATACATGTAGATTCCAATAATGATGATAAAGTTTACTCACATTTGGAAAGAAAATAGAAATTTCCCCTTCAATTCAAAAATGTTCATCGAGGAGCTGGAATTCGCCATCTTATTCAAATAGCAATTTGAACTGTATGATTCCTGAGCGCCACATGTCCGGTAAGTGTCATCGCACCGAAACTGTACTCCGGACATTGCAGCATACGGGAATCAGCAGTTAGCAGGAGTGTAACAACACAGCACTCTTTTGGTGAAAGGTCCACTGGGCCAGTATGCCATGATGTCATCTCCAGGACATTAACATACAAGTGGGAGTAAAAATCACTATTTGAACAAGATGGCCACTTCAAGCTCGATGACAATAGTGTTTCCGATTTGAAGGGTAAATTTCTCATTTCTTCCCAAATATGAGTAAACCTTACCAACTTTATTTGAATTTCTGATTCCATTTACCATGCTTAATCCTAAGCCAAACTTGAACTAGTGAATATCCCAGGGTGAAGTTTGATGCACAGGCAGTCTGCCAGAAAGAAGCAGTATGCATGTTCATGGTATAGTATCCAAATGTTTTTTATGGCTTCCACTCTATCTTGATCACTTCAAAAACAAAACAGAAAAAAATTAGGCCTAGCCTATTTGAAAAAAATAAGCTAAAGTTAGGCCTCCGTTGTCATCACGTTATGGTTGTTCTGTCTATAAAATTTAGTGCCGTGTCTGCATCATGATCATGCCCATACTACTAAATAGTACTACAAAACCCAATGGCAACGGCAAAGAATGTCATGTCGTTATTTCTCTATCTCATGACCTAAAGCCTCACCTTTGCTCAAAAATCTTTCCTCATTTAGCACTGCCACTGCATTTACACAAAGGAGAGCAGCTTCAATTAAAGAGTACAGTCCAAATGCCATTCTGAATGCTTTGAAATTTTATTATTAACAGTTTATGTATACATGATCTACAATGCAATGTACATTACATCAAGTCTATCTAACCCGGTACCCGTACCTAAAAGTCAGATACCCACACACCGAATGCTTATTTCGCCTTGCCGAAGTCAGGGAAGTGAAAAAAGCTTGACGTGGCAAGTTGCTATCAACAGAGGGCGCACTAATACCACTTACTTTACTTTTTACAAAAAAATGAATGAATGAAAATGATTGCACTGACATAACCAGAGTTACCGATCATAAAGTGAAAACAGGGTGAACTACTATGGTAAGGACACGTATGGAAGAGCAAAGAATGCAATAAAGCCTAAGAATCGGCGTGAAGGACACTGTTTCTCAATAAGGCCAGGAATCGTGAAAAGAAATTTTTCGCAAGACGTCGACCTGTTTTCAACTCGGCTCATCAGTACCCAACTCCAGACCTTCGTGTCATGGCAGCTAGACCCCATGGCATGAGGAGCAGATGCTCTACTACTGAACTGGAAGGAGATAAAGGCTTACGCTTTTCTACCCTTTGCTCTTCTGCCCAAGTGTTTGAACAAGATCAGCAGGGAGCAGGCCAAAACATTGTGCTCATCGCCCCTGTTTTGAGCACACCGGGTACCCAGGCTTCTCGAGATGGCTGTCTAAAATCCTGTCATTCTCCCCCCCCCTCATCTTTTCCAGTTACCTGACAACAAACCACTAATCCATCCACTTAATGTTCTTCGCCGCGTGGAAGCTATCAGGGATATCTCTCTCCAGAGGGCATTTTGCGGTCACAGTCATGTCATCTTGGAGGGAGCAGTCCAAAAGGCAGTATGATTCAGCTTGGAATCGATGGGCCTGCTGGCGTCTTCAGAGGCAAGCTGATCCTGTTGGAGTCACTGTAGCGGTATGATTATCTTTTCGTCAACATTTGTTAGATTCAGGGTTGCTATACAGAACTCTCAATGCATGATCTAGATCGGCGATTTCCTCAGTACACGTCTTTGTAGACGGCACACCATTTGGGCAACATCATTTAGTTAGACGTTTCTTCAAGGAGGTCTTAAATTTGCGTCCTCCACAGCCACGGTATAATTTCCCATGGAATGTGGCAACTGTGTTGAATTATTTCAAGTCTTTACCTGACAATCGTCGGTTATCGATCAGACAGTGAACTCACAAGTTGGTCATGCTTAGGCCTATCGCTGTTCGTCACTCACAGCAATTGAGATAAATCAAATGTCAAGGTCTTTGGATGGGAATTATGTATTCCGGCTGGTAAAACCCTTTAAACGTGTTTCAGTCAACGAATCCTTCCATGACATTAAGAATGTTCGTTTCGAAGCCAATAGAAACCTCTGCCCTTGCGCACTCTTGAGGGAATACCTTAGCGTACTTCTCATAATAGACAGAGTATAACGTTGGCATGACTCAGCTCTTGCTGTCATACTCCAAACCTTACCATCCGGTAGTCCCGTCCACAGTGACCATTTCAGATAGTTGAAATCTGTTCTCAAAGTGGCAGACATTGATACTTCATGTTCAAAGCCCATCAACCAGGGCTGGGTAAAAACTCAATACATCATGGAAACGGGAGACTGGTCGTCTGTGACTACTTTTGCCAACCTCTAACACAGAAGCCCATTGCATCCAGAGTTTGGTCAGAGTTTGGTTAAGCAGTTCTGGCGTCGGTGCCTTGAAACTTTGAAGTATACAGGGTGAGTCTCTCCTCCATTGTCTTATATTAAGCCCCCATTATATTGCAGGTAAGCATTTCACATACCTATCCCGGTGGGTGGAATTTGGTGTGCAACCGTTTGCGGCGTTTCTGAGATATAATGAGACATCGGGGCTTTGGAGAAAAAAAATAGGCACTCAATATTGCCTTTCTTTCTGTTTTTCGAAAAAAGCAGATAGGGAAGGGGTGTAGCTCCCATCCGCTTCGAGCGGGAACCAAAGAGGGCGTGTTTTTAAATGAAATTGACAGTCGTTTGGTTTCACTCGTAGCCCAGTGGGCGCTGGGAAGGGTTGATGGCCTCGCACAGATTTTAGTGAAGGAAATACGTCACATGGGGTCACAGCCAACGACGCGTGAGCTTTGTGCGTTATACAAGCGGTGGTTATCAATTCGATATATTTCTGTTTCTTCCTCATTGATGAAAACATTCTCACTACACTTTATTCGTTCATCCAAAATTGAAATATATCACCAAAAGACACATGGTCAGTGATACTTGGTGAGAAGATAAGTTACCACACTGTGACTTGTACCAAGGCCATGTTTTTATTATCTGGCCGAAACTTTGCCTGTGTCAAAGCATTGCCATTGGCGAACCAAAAAAAATGTAAATAACGGTTCGCTATCAGGAAGTGGTAACCTCGCGGTCACAGGTCGTGCCCAATGTAGCCAATCACAGTGCAAAGCCGTCAGCCCTTCCCAGCGCCCTATTTGGACGATGGGCAACGACTGAATGTGGGACGAACTCAAGTTTTTGCGCGTTTGGCGCGGGGCACAGCGAGTGCGGGTGATTCATAATAGTGCGCCACCAAGAGTTTGCAACACGTTGGCCAATCATAACGCGCGAAATTTGTCGACCCTTTCCAACGCACATTGGGTCGACAAATTTCCGCGTTGTGATTGGCCAATGCGTGGCAAACTCTTGGTGACGCACTATTGTTCAACGGCCGTATTAACGAATTTATGGTGAAATATACGGTCTTCACGTGCACGCCGAATGCGTACAAGAAGGCGGTTTGGAAAACTTCGTACCAGTCTGTATTTCTTTCGCAGGTGAAGGTAAATTTCAACTCCGGTTGGATCGACTCCCGGATCCAATAATGACCATGACCGTATGTTCTTTATTGTATCGATTTACGTTTACCTTGGATGGAGCCTTCTGGAAAAAGGTCATGATTTTAATTGACGAAACAATTAAACAAGCAAAGTTTGTCTGCAGCCAAGGTGGCTCGATCGTCGGGCCTCGATCTCCGCTGTGACAATTAGGTCCTCTTACGGGATGACATGCGGTCCATCGCAGGCCGTAACCCGGCAAGTTAATGCTGACACCGATTTGTGCTCCTAGGGTACTGAAAGAGGCAACTCAGAGTTGGCGAGGCGGCTAGACCGAGGCCACAATCTATGTACACTGTACACTTTATGTACACTGATGGTCTTATCACTAAGCCACACTTTTTAAGGGATGCACAATTTTTAAAACAAATGCTGAAAGCAAATAAAATGCGGCGCCTATCATTGATTTTTGTAGATTAATTTCAAGGTTTCAAAAGGCTAGGGCAGGGAAATCTGTTGAGGCTGCAATATATCCCTCACGCCCCCTCCCGACCCTTACCCAGAAACTTTAAAAAAAGGTTCCACTCTACGGTACAATGAAGGCTGTGTTGGTAAATGGCTGTAGGTCTCAGTCGGTGGATGACATAAAATTGGCTACAACCCTTTTTACCTGAGTGTCCGTAAGCAATTCAAACTATACCGCCTTTGACTTATCCACTCATTACATTTTGAGTTTCCTGTACTACTGCAAACCCAGAATAAAGTTCACTTAGAATTTTAATTTTCTTCATGAAGTCTTTTCATCGACTCATTGCAGCTAAATTTACCTCTAAATTAAACTTATGATGCCGACAACACGCATCCCTCATGATTCCAAGTGCGTTATTCAAAGTGAATGTAATGGAACACGGAGGGCGCCAGTTTCAAGGTTGAGAACATGTTTTGTAGAAAGTTTATCTTCCTGGGTTCGATGGTGGACCGCCAAAGGCGGACGATGACCCCCAAGTAACGTCGGAGAAGTCTGCTCTCTTCTCGGAGACCAGCTCTGGCCACCAGGGTTTGGCTGCATGGAAGGGCTAGAAGACAGGGTGAGCATTCTGCACTGGTTCAGAAGTCCGTGGAGTCACCGTCAAAAAAACCGATAAGGATACATCTGACACAATGTTTAATATTCAAATAATTTTAAGATAGTTTTCTCGATATATTCCCGCGTATTTTAAGCAAGAAAAACTTCAGAATATAAAGAACAGAGAACTGTATGACTACGGGTTTTGCGGTGCAATGAACTTCGGAGAATGTAATTGCTTCCTCCTGAACTTAGTTCGATAAGTTTAGTGGTGGGTTGGATCTCTGGGAGAACCAGAATAAGATTTTCATGGGGTGAAATGCATTGACCTAGTTTCTCTCAACAATCAGTCTTCCGTGCGCATCACCGTACCACTTGTCTGAATTCTTTTCTGCAGAACAGGGACAGGTTAAATTTTGATAAGATATATCGAGAAAGCATTTTAATTTCTACGAGATCATATAATTTGGTTTATTTGTGCCGAAGTCATAATAAAGCGAAGCAGCTTTGCGCTGTGCGTAGTTCAATAATTGATACATCTCACTTTCAAGTGTTTATCACGAAATGCATTCCGTTCTAAATGGCTAGGTATTCGCATAGATGTTTTTAAAATATAATGCTATATGGAGCGAGACCAAGTCAATGGTACCCAGGCGAATTACCGTTTACGACATGTTGCGGAGAGCCATGGTGAAATGACCTGAAATAGGATCTTTATCGAAAAAAGAAGGCATCAAGACTGACGACATGAAATAAACATCAGACAATATGTAATGCTCTCATAAACAAATGCAGTTGCAAGTATTATTGACTGTTAAGCTGGGGATGATAATCTCAATAATATTGGCTTAAATCTATTCACGGATAACATCATTTCCCTGTTTTCCAAAGCTTCACTTTACCCACAAAAGCTGGAAAATACCACTACATCGAAATCTACCCAATTCATCACATTTCACCCAACTCATGCAATAGGGTGCGTGAAAATAATATCGTCAGTGTGGCGAGACTACAGTCATCAATAATTTTGACTTGTGCATATCCAAATTTGACGTTTGTCTATAAAGAAGTCAACATTAGCTCTCTTTTTTCAAAGTAATTATGTCCGAATTTTAGATTAAATTAGGGTCGGGTATGGAGGGGTAGAGATTTAAAGAAACCGAAAGAGAAACGTAATATCCTTTAAAATTCATTAACCTCTACCATAACAGAGACTATGTAACACTGCAGAAGACTTGACAAGGTAGCTGATAAATGTATGTCATCAATTTGTCGCGGGCGTCACGAAGTGACCAATGCCAATCTCAGAAAATCTGGAGTTTTTAGTGCATTTAGACGTCACGTATACCGAAATCTTTATTTTCATAGAAATTTTGAATTGACGGTTTATGGAAGGGTCTCCGCTTTCTGGTCAGGGGCTGATGCGACGACGCCGCTTTTTTCTTTTTTGCGGTCTGAATTTTTTCACTAGAAAATGATACTCGCAAATAAGCTAGTACGTACGTACCACCACTACCAACACTGAAATAGACTGGCCACTCACTATTTACTGTTTGAAGGCGTTTCTAGTTTGAAGATGTACACAGGATATAAGACCACCTTGTTTGTCTGGTTCTCAGATGTCCAAGTATAATACAGAAATGGGGGCCAGGAGGGACTCCTTTACTGTACGTATTACTCCACCGTACCCATCAAAAACACCTTAAAATTACGTTGTAGCAGAATTCTAGTCGACCAGGCAAGTTTGGCAGCTTTTGGACATCGTATATACCAAAAACCTTTTTTCTTTTGGCGATAAGAAGGTCTAAGGCGACGCGCGCGCTGACCACAAACCTGAGACTTTCTTTTGGCCTAAGGGGGACTTTAGAGGGATAATTTTTGGATTCTATATTATTTTATGGACTATTTGGGCTTAGGCACCAGGGACTACAAAGTTTTGCATTGAAAATTTAATTTGGTCTTCTACATGCAAAAACACAAAGCATAATGGGACTAGCGACGAATAAGACTACATTATCAGAAAAAAAATTGCTAACTAATGTTTCGAAGTTTTCAGTGATTTGGTTTCGTTTTTAAGACCAGAAGATAACAGAATATCTCAAAGTTGCCTGTAAATATTTAGTTTTGTGTGACAAGCCTCGACTATTTTGTACCAAGATTCGCGTAGATTTACCTTAAAATTCCATTCAAGTAATTGTAACGTAGACGTTTTACCCCCACGACGGAACCGATTATAATTCTAAAGCATCAGAAGAGCGATGTGGTGAATCTAGCGGCGGCGGTAAAGTCTGATTCGTTTGGACTTCCTGGTGAAACCCCGCGGCCCCTTGACTTGGACCTTGACGCGAGCCGAGATGTGCCGAATGCAACTTCCTTTGCCAAGGACTCTGATACTGGTTAGGCCCACGCAGACTCTCCTGCGCCTCCTGAATATTGACCAACCTCGTCTGATTTTAATGCAGCGCATCGATTGGTTGGCGCCCACTGTGGAGAGATAACGGGAGAGGTACACATTACTGTCTTGCTTTGGACAGCCTGCTATCAATCTGAAACAATATTTGGATACCGGATGTTTCGCTTTTAACAGACGTATACACATGTAGACACTAAATGACTCAAGAAAAATGGCCCTGGGACGCAGGGTAACCATCTCCTCAGCATGCTTGCTTGCATTGGCTGCAAAATTCAAGGCGGATTAGATGCTGATACCGCTGTCAAATATGTTTGTAAAGATTTTGTGTTTGCATCGGAAAAATATTATGTCGGTGAAGGGGAATAAAATCCAATATAAAAATCAAGATCTTTTCTCTCCATGATAAAACCTATCCCCAATTCATGATTATAATTCCTTGGGATATTTCTTCAGAAATGCACGTTTCCACATTATGAAAACAATCGTCCAGTTTGAACATGGAGTTTTCGTGTAATCTGAATACGCTTTATTCTGACTAACTTTTTGATTAAACATATGCAAAAACAAACTGATTTTCTTCGCAACATAAGTTTAAGATATATAAATTGATTTGTTTTATTCGTTGATATCCGTTTTTAAAAAGGGCGCTACCCGACCCGTAAGACGTACGAACACTTTCGAACATTTTTTGTATATAGTTTTGTCTAGCCCTTACCCCGCCGTTTTCCGCGTAGCTGTTATTCATTCAAACGCCAATGCAGGAGAAAAGTTATCCAAACTTTGAAATTCGCATACAAGCCTAGGAATCTTACCTTTGAAGGACTTCCTGACAACATGCTTCTTATTGATGGTAGCTTTATATCTTATTTTGCCTTGTCGGTAAGATGCCCTTACGCAGACTGAAAGTAAACGGTTCGTAAAAATACAGAAACACATACAAAATGGATTGAAAACGATTTAACTCATTGGGGGAAAATTACAGTTTCTTTCTGACTTATCATAAGTTGGCCAAACTCGGGGATTTTTCACTGGTATTTAATCTGTGGACTTCAAATATACTTTTGAAAGACTAAAGCGAGGGGAAAATTATCTAAGTACCGGATCAGGATTTTGCAACGACATGAAAATGAAAGTCGGAGCAAACGGGTTTCAAAGCCATTGAAAGATGGTACAAAAAACAAAGAGCTTTAGCATTAATATGTCAGGGAGTACTTACCGTGGAATCTCCTCCTAGACAAACAACACCGGCGTCCGCGACATTTGAAACGACCGTGTCCCTCAACTTCGGGATCGGGACTAGTGGCCGTTTCCAAAGCTGAGGGAAATAATCAAAAACAGAATGGAATAACAAAATGATGCTTGAGATCATAGAGAGATGATATCTGATGATTTATACCGATGCCTTTGGGGTTAGCATGGACAAGAGAAGATAAACCGCGTCGTAGTAATTGCCAGTCCGATTTTTGTACCACTTGAGCGAAAGTGAACATCATGCTTACAACTGTATGACGCCAAATCGGTGATGGTAAGCGTCCTAAATCTCCCAACACCATTAGGCCAAAAAAAGTCTCCAGTTTCTGGTCGCCGCACGCGTCGCCATAGACCTGCGCGGCGGCAAAATAAAGAGGTCTTTTATTTTGCTTAAAACGATTTCCAGAAGCAGCCAAACCTACTTGATCGGCAGGAATTCTACTACTGGGTAATTTTAACGTGTTTTTGATGGTTGGGGCTGAGTGGCCAATTGATTCGGACTTGGGCCCACGTCTGTGAACCAGACAAACGAAGTGGTCTTACGTTCTGCTTATATATACAAATTGAAAACGTTTTTAAGCAACCAACCGTAAGGGGCCAGTCTATTTCAGTGTCGGGTAAGCAGTAGCGGTAACATACGCATGCAGTGGCGATGGACATCGTGCTATAATAACCATACATGTAACAATGCATGCATCGTCAACTTGCCAACAACAAAGGTAGATTACAGTGAGAGCAGATTTTGTTTTTGGAGCTGAACTTTTCCCCCCAAAATAAAAATAAAACTCTCATGATTTAGATGATATACTGTGCACATTGTTTTCCGTTTTAGCTTATTTTATATGCAACTTGTTTCTTATCAGCTAAAACGGAAATAATGTGCACAGTATATCTTCTAAATCATGAGAGTTTTATTTTTATTTTGACTCTGGAGCTGAACTGTTTTCATTTATTTTTTCATATTTGAGGTGCAACTTGTTTCGTCTAAGCTAAAGCAGAAAACGCTGCGCAAAATATGTCATATACTGCTACCTCTTCCACGAAAATTTCATTTAAGACCGGAAACTGGAGCTGAACGTGTCTTTTTCACATTTAATTTCTCCTATGTGGTTCCACTACAGTATTTTAACAAGCTCAATCTTACCAAGAAAAGAGGCACTTGTATGAGTGAGATGACTGAATCCATTGCCTGTTGTAATATTTTATGGTCTTTTTATTTATTCAAAATTGTTAATTCACACTTCTCAAAGTAACAAGGCCATGCGCTCTAACATCACTTCTACTAAAGCAAAAAAAAAATGAGAGGGAAAAAAAACCACTTTTGGACCGGAGTCTTTTTTGGCCTATAGTATCCCAACAAGTTGAATATCAAAATGCCAATGCTTTGCGTCACTTTGTTCGCCTTTTCAAAGCCATTTAGCTGAACTGGTGAAGATGAGAGTGACGAATTCATTACCAATTCAGATGCTTTTCGCATTTGCACTGAATGCTGTTTACCCATGCTTCGCTGAATTTCTTAACTTTGACATTCAGAACCCTGGGTAGAAATCACATCGCGTCAGCGCCCCGGTTGTGGATGTCGCGATTCTCTGTTTTAACATCGCACTTGAGAAACAATGCATGGCCAATATGCCTGGGGAGTAGCTCTCGTTTTTTGGTAACCGACATTTTGTGCATAATGATCCCGTGTAGCACTTCCCGCGATCGAAAAGTACAGGTCAAAAGGGCAGATTTGCTTGATTTTCACAAACGGTGCTTATGGAATTTATGTGATATTTCGTCGACGCTCTCACGAAGTGATGAGAATCGTGCAAAACAGATATCCAAGAAAAACGCGTTTAAAATGCGACCTATTTTATTCCGCATTTTCGACCACTTTTGTTTTATTGAGTATAAGGTTTAGAAAATGCTGATCCACACTACTTTGTAGATTTTTTTGTTTTAATTAAACAGCAATTCGTTTAACATTTTTTTACAGTTTGTAAGGTTGCAAAACCTGGAGGTCTTACTTTCTTCCCCTGTATACTCTATTCACGTTTTTGATCTTTGATCTGATTCCACAAACCTGTTTTATATATTGCAAACTGTCATTAAGGATGGCACCAGACTTTTTATAATTCCGTGCGTTTCAAGCCTCCCTTTCAAAACTTTTAGGAATCTGGCAGACGAGGTGCAATTCTATGTGCTCAGTCATGAATTTGAAATTATTCATCAGTGTAGAGAGATGCAAATTTGTCAAGAATTGTCATTTTATTTCTTTATTTGTACTCTCAACATTCAAAAGAGAAGAGTTAACCTCGCTTTCAAATTCAATATGACCGGCCCCGTGAATAAAGTCTATTGCATTAATGATCTCCATTATAACGGTAGGGAATTCTATATTTGCCGTCGTCCGTCGCGCGTCGTCTGTCGTTGTCACTTTTTGAGCCTATACGCGGGCGAAAAAATTGTCAAATTTTGTTGCATTTTACTAGTCTTGGTGAAAGATCGGGAAATATCGATTTTCCAAGTTTTTGTCACTTCGTGGGGTCGTTGAAGATTTTTTGGCTGATAAATCATTTTAGCTCTGGCAAATGTTATTTTTGCTACTTAGAGTTGTCGCCAAAAACTAGAGGCTCTTTTTTCTTTTTTCATTTTTTTCCCGGAGGCGTATGGACATGGTGACAATTCGATTGATTGCTGATTCCAATACACTATTTATTTGATGGTAAATACGCTCAGGCCTACTTACCGTCAGTGTCTTGGTCTTCATACATCAAGGGAAACGCAGGCTCCTCGTCCAAATCGTCGTCTGTCTGATCGTCATCCTGATCGTCATCCCACTCCAAGTCGGCTTCGTCGTCCATTTCTGCTGTGTCGTCATCCTCGGTAAAGTCATCGGATTCTACGGCCACTGCGCGGTCGTCGGTTGCATCGTCAGCAGCCACCACTGTCGCACCGTCGCCCAAGTCTGATGTCTCCGAGGAGACACCGTACAGGAAGGCCACACATACGAAGAGAGCGAGCAGCTTCATTATTCAGCAGTGGATCAGCAAGAGAAAACTGAACGACTGCTGGAAACTGTGAGTCGATGTGCTCAATTTCCGCAAAGTCGCCTGCTATTATAGGATTGAGGAAAGGGCGTGGTTTACTGAAAATTGGTTAATTGACTTCCAAGCTTCCATATATGTTGTCAATCAAACTATTAGAAATGTTCAACCCTTCCTACTGGTAGCAAGGCCGTGATAAGCGTTTTCAGCCATTTAGAAATTCGGTCATAAAGTTTGAATCATATATTTATCAATTGAACCACACAACTGCAAGTTCCTCCATGTGGGCGGGTTTTCGATACTTTGGACCTACCAAATTGCCCCGTATAGACAAGCGGTGGTAAATATGAGTGTACCAACAATGCAGATACGAGCCTCACTCGCAATTTCACACTTGAAAATAATCAGTCAAGCCTACAGGCCGGTTGATACTACAGGCGAATATGAAAGTGAAGCAACTTTGACGTTACAAATAATTTGCAGCACAATTTCTGGATTCGAAATGTGTCAAGCTTTTGCGAATTCAGAGCCTTTGATATGACGTCACATATCTGCGTTCGCTTTCGAGCTTATTATGATCCGGCCTTATTACGTTGAATGTACTACCAGTGCCATGAAGCGAACAACAGCTATGTCCGATGCAACTCAATGGGGAGAACACCCTGTGTGTGTTTTAACACCGATGCTTCTTTATATTTTTCAGATATTTTGTTGCCCTATTTATCACACAGCTAACGTAATTTTGGGGGGTTGATTTTTAAATTAAAACAAGAGAAGATTCGTGATGTCAGAGAGCCAAAAAGGGGTCGAATAAACTTAATGAATAAAAGAGGGGGCCGCACAATTTTCTTGAGTTTCCAAGCTTCGGCAACCCGAAATCCAGCTGACTACAGGTATAATAACAAAAGTTCCAGTTTAGTCTCGTTTCCAGTGTGGCCTTCGCCAAATGAGACTATAGATCCTGACATCGTGGCGCTGCAGCATAACGAGGCAGTATGGCGTACAAAGTTTACATTTAATCCCAGAATAGAGATATCTCTATTCCTGGACGTGCCAAGTTAACATTTATTCACGGAATAGAGATATTTCTATTCCTAATAGAGATATCTATATTAATTAATTAAGTTACCGCTTCCGAGGTCAGCTGGCCGCCCTCTCCGTTTTGTGTTGAAAAATCTGTTATCTTGAGGGGTTTTGAATCTGTGTCCCAGTACTTGTACTGCCGTGATTGATTACATTAGGAAACTTTACACAACCCCCTGGTTCAGTGAAACTTTGTGCTTTATACGTTTTCAATGTCCTTCCTGTTGTGTGCGGAACCGGAAACATAATGGAGATGTCTCTATTAAAACAGGACGTACAATCGAGATATCTCTATTAGGAATAGAGATATCTCAATTCCTAATAGAGATGATATCTGTATACGCAGATTAAATGTTAACTTTGCACGCCATAAGACAGGGTGTGATTATGATAGACACATTCTTACAAAAGAACGAGCCGCCTTTGATTAGGCTAAGAAATACGAGGTGGAATTTTGAGAACTGTGAATGTTGACAGACTATAAGTCTGCAGCCGAGTGAAAATGTTGAGATTGGTTTTTACACATGGTACCCTCTAATCATGCCTTGTTATAGGAAGCTCAAAAGTAGTACAAACAAAATGCCTCTTTCGGGGTATAGCTTACAGATCGGAGAATTTCTGAATATTTGGAATGGTTATCAGATGGCAATTGAAATGGAAAGACGGAATACTTGGCGCCTCTCCAGTCAGTGGTAGATCCAGAAACACATTTTTGATGGGATACTAGTTTTGTCAAGGGGGGGGGCAGACGTTTTTTCATATTAGCTTTAACGGCCTTTTTAAGGGCTGAGGCTACATTGGGGGGCTTTTTACACGCTTTGGAAGAAAGGGAAAGGAAAAAAGACAAAAGAATTGCCTTTCTTTATTCATAAAAAAAATGGGGGGGGGGGCTTCCTCTTGGGGGAATAGCCCCCGTCGCCGTCCCCCTGATCAGCCCTTGCCTACGATCACCTATTTTGTGTAATGGCCCTGGTTAACTGATTATTTGTTAAGATAAGTCAGGATTTTTACTTCCTTAATTTAATGAGACTTTTGCATGCCGTGTAGCTCGGAGATCCGAGTGCAGTGTATCAAACACTGACAAACTGACCATTATCGTTAGAAAAGTTTTTCAAAATAAAAACCCCAGATTTATTACACGTCGTGACGAAATAGCCTTGAAAAATTTAGGAATCTGAAAGAATTGCTTATGTGGTCCCAATGAATACCTGTGCACTAACCAACCTGGAATTGGCCTGCATTATTTGGTTGTTGTCGCTGTTGTTTTTGTTATTTTTCCCTTCATTTTCTGGGTATTGTCACATTTGCAATGTTGCGTGCCCTTAAAATGAAGCCCTCTATTTTGTCCCGAATATCTGCTGGTACTTATTAAATATTCCATGCATAGTTTGATCATTCAGCAAAGCCATCAAATCAGTCAATCTGCATGGTAGTCTACAGAGCACCATGCACTTCCCGGTTCCGCTAACTTGAAAAGGCTATTTTGGTTTACATCAAGTACTGAGTCGCTTCCTAATTTGGAATCATGAGTAGATTCAAATCAATTTGTTCATAGATGACTTTTTTCAAATTCCACCTGCGAGGAATTTTTCTATTAGTGCTAAAAACCCCGGACATTTATATCAAGTGAATCTCTAGTATACTCAGACAAGCAAAACCTACCCCTGCTATTTTGAACTCAAAAGTGCCCGCCGACCACATGATTTCCTTCGACATCGTTTGTCTTAGTGCGTCTTTTACGCGTCGAGACTTCAGTTTTCTAATTACCATCTTGCAGTCATTTCCACAATGTGGACATACCGTATTGCTTTATCTTTTTTGTTTTTTTTTAATTTGTTTGTTTGCCTTTAAGTTTAATTTCATTTTTTATGTTGTTTTTGTTTGTTTTATTGGATACAAAACTGAAATTTGAAATGGTAAGTCAAAACATGATTGGCGATAAACGTCCTCTGCTGGGCAATATCACTTTTCAGGAAGTGATGTTGGTGATTGGGTGGAGAAAAATTAAAAAGTGTTGTCCTTTCTTGATGTGGTTGAAAACGATGCATTAGAAAATCGTGTATTTTTAAATGTATTTTTGCCATCGTTTTCACATAGGCCTTCACGAAAAAGCGTGTAGTTTTATATACTTCACTGAATGCAGAAATGAGCGTCCGGAGCAAATAAAGCATATAATTTGGATAATGAGTTTGGTTGAATGTTAGAAATATTAAAGTATAAAATGTAAATTGGCACCTTTGGATTAATTAAATGTTACTTTAATTTGACTTCCTCAGTTAATTCTTGTGGTACAGACTTTAAGCGCGAATTTCAGACAGAATGTACATATTGAGGATGGATCACAGTTTAGATTTTCTGTGAAAATTAATAAGTTTTCTAAGTTTGTATTCCATTTTTGGTCTCTTGTTCCCCTCCGAGATGCGCCCCTTTTAAGGAAAATGTCACAAAAGCCTGAAATTTGAATTTATCATGTGAATATTCAGTATAACCCGGTTGTTACATGAAAAACCGTTCCCAATTTTAACAGTGTGGACCAACCCGCATAAATTCAACATTGCGTCGATTTGTTTTTCTGGTAAAAGGGTTTTATTGAAATAGTTCTGTTATTGTGAGTGGCTGTCTTGACATTTATTTTCTATATCTTTCGAGAGTATTGCAGGAACCCTCGGAGCAACCGAGACACTAAAAATTAGCAGTTGTTTCCGTGTTTTTGTTTAAATTTTTGCATATTGCTTAAGCCGATTTACATGAAATTCTTTGTTTCGTAGAGGACCGTAAAATTTTTAGACTGTACAGTCTCCTATAATGTTGAGTTAATTCATGTGCCGACCAGGCCAACTGGGGAAACCCTGGCCTGTTGCTGAGCACTTTATTCGTTTGTTTATACTTCCCTCTCCCTGATCCCTCTTTCTGTGTGGCCGTCTACCGCCTCTCTTACACCAGTTTAACAATCAACATGGGTGTCAATCGCTTTTCAAAAGTGTGTGTGTGTGGGGGGGGGGCATAACCCCGATCAGAACTGATGGGAGCATGAAGCCCAAAGCCCTAACGGCATGAGGTCTGGTGTCCACTTTAGAGCACCAGGAAATTTGAAGTATACATGCTCTGATGTAATGTGATCTGTAGCAGTTCTGACCACACTAACTCTGTTTTTAAAGCAAAATCTTTTGGGGGGATTTTTTTCATTTTTGAAATAATTTCTATCTTTGAAAATCTTTTGAAATCTTATGCAAGTTTAGAACCTTTTTTGTTTATCATTCCGACTTTTCCCCCATAAGAGGAAAGATTTGGGAAATATAAACAGCAAATCTGGAAATGTAGGCCCCTACATTTTATTTAGGATCTGGAAGAAAAGTCGGGGGGGGGCAAACGATAGGATATTTCTCCACTTTGAAAGTGGGGGTTGGAACATGTCCACCCTGTCTTCCACCGATTGACGCCCTGGCAATTACTGACTGCTAGCCTACTATTACTTGAATGTCAACACCTGCAGGATTTTGAGTATGCAAGCACCCAGTGGACCTCTGCTGTGCGCTTTAGTGATGGTGGCTGGTTTGGGGCTGGGGAAATTGGGGTGGGGTGGATTTCAACGTGCATAATTCTTAGCATAAATTGCCAGAATGCTCAATATTTCCTGTGTGTGTTCTGGAGACCTCCATTTATCTGTTCAGACAATGAGACAAAGGTTTGTGTCGACCAAACACAATTATTTACGAGTAGTGAGCAGACACTGCGTGACCACCTTAGGTTAAAACAAAGTGAATATTTCCAACCGCATAATTTTATTGCCTAAGTGAAACTTGTGTGAAACTTTTTCTTATACATGGGAGGGTTCATCAGTATTTGCGCCCAAAAGAAACTCTGAGATTACACCAAAATACTTATTGATGACGTCTCTATTTACGACCTACAATCCTGGACAAATCTCGTCGGGCCTAGCCTCAAACCCCCGGATCCCCCATCAATGTTGGG